ACACAAACATGTGAGTGACTCAAGCAAATCACTTTTCTGGAATAATGATGGTTCGGACGATCAATCTGTGGTATCCACAGAGCCATCTCTTCAAACAAAATCTTACCAGAAATCTGAATGTAAAAAGCAGATTTAAGAGCTGTGCTTAAAAAAAAAAAAAACAATGATAATGATAATTAAAAGCAGATCTAGTGGAATTCTGTGATGAGTTCAGAAGAGCAGAGGCCTTGCCAGTGCCTGGCCAACTCTGGGGTCCTGGGCTTTCCTGACTGTGCAGCGTCCTATTCAGCTCTTAATTGTTCCCTAGTGATTTCCTGTGTGGCAAATTTTTCTTTCTTATTCTTCCTCCCTCCCTCCCTCCCTCCCTCTCTCTCTCTCTCTCTCTCTCTCTTTTTCTTTCCCTCCCTCATTCCTTCCTTCCTTCCCTCCTCCTCCTCCTCCTTCCTTTTTCTTTCTTTCTTTTCTTTCTTTCCTTTGTTGTGGTAGTGGGGCTTGAACTCAGGGTTTTCACTCCACCAGCCCTTTTTTTGCGATGAATTATTTGAGATAGGGTCTCAGAAACTATTTGCCTGGGCTGGCTTTGAACCACAACTCTCCTGATCCCTGTCTCCTGAGTAGCTAGGATTATAGGCATGAGCCACCAGTGCCTGACCCAAGAATTTCTTATTTCTATAGTAAACTCCCATATGCTAGAGCTTGATTTACTTCTATGGTTTTCTTCATAGTGGACAGAACAAAAATGCTGCTACCCAATGACTGAAAGAAACACAGACATTCACAGATTAGTTTGGAGTCTTCGTATCAAATTGCTTTTTTGCTACACATAACAGAATTTAATAAAATGGAGTTAGTGGACTTTTGATGCAGTGATGGGATAGAGATTGTTTTTGAAGCATGGAAAACTATGGGTGACAGAGTACACTGCTGAGAGGTTTGGGCCCTTAGGAGGGTAGATAAGTCTGAGGGTGAACACATGTGATGGATTAAGTGGTTGGGTACATGAGGGTGGACACACAAGGGTGGATGCTATGAGACCCCCAATATGGGATGGGCCAATGGACCCAATCAAGCTTCCCAGGCTGCAAAGTTTGGTGGGATACCAGCCTTGGTAATAATAGGAAATCTAAGACCCAGTGATTCCCAGACCTTGAGGGAAGCCAATTTTATTGGGTTTCCTGTGCTGCTTTGACCTGCTTTCTTTGGGACCACATGTATTCCTGTGAGTCCATGCTGACGTGCAGAGCCTTCCTTTTCTCCGTTTCCTCAACAAATATTTATTACACACTTACTATGTAAAATATTGGGTATCTGCTGGTGATGGAAACAGACAAAACATCTCTGTCCTTATGGGGTGGACAAGACCATAAGCACAATATATAAACCAAACAAATACTCGGTAGGAAAAACAGAATGGCAGAATGAGAGAAAGGATGACAGGCTGAGTGTGAGTGTTCAATCTTATGGAGGCCAGGAGGCCTGGCTGAGGGTGACTCTTGATAGAGACAAGAAGTGAGGGGATGGGAGGTGGGGGTGGGGATGGAGGAACATTCCAGGCCACTGTGCTGGCCAGAGGTTGCCCTGAGGTCCCTTTCCCCACTCTGTTAGACCTCACATATCAGCATTCAGAGATTGCTCTGGAATGTAGTCAGGCGTTATTTTCTCATGGGAGGAGGGGCTGGGCATCTTTGCCTTAAGTTTGAACTCTGTAGGATGAGGGAATGATGGCTGTTTGAGTGACACCAGCCTGAGCAGTTGCAGGCCGGGAAGGACTTCAGGGTAGAAGAGAACTCTGAGGGTCCCTGTGTGTGTCCATCCTCCACCTGCCTCCTTTTGTGTCCAGTGGGCACCCCTGCCCTCTGCTTCTGGAAAGTGGGTGATGGAATGATGGTAGAGGACAAGTTGTCACCACCTTTGAAGCTAACTGCCTCAGAAAAGGTAGTTAGTCCCACCTCCCTACCAGGATAACTTCTCCCCAGTCAGGTGTCCTTGGGGAGGTTATTTAATCTCTTTGTCATTGTTTTCTTATCTCTAGACTAGCAATAAGAGCTATCTGGTTGGGAAGTTCTGAAGAGCAGAGACAATCTGTTTAAAGTACATTGACAATGCCTGGTACGTTCAATTAAAGGTAGCTGTTATTACTTTATCAACAACGAATTAATGGAGAACCCTCCTTGAGATCTATTATGTTCCTTGTTTTACCAGTGGGGAAACAGGGGCACTGATTGCTTAAGGTATTGGTTCAAGGTCACAGAGCCTAGTAAGCATGGAATTTGAACTCAGGCAGCCTGGTTCCTACTTGGAGAGGAGGAAGAGATGAAGGTGACAACAGCCTGAATTTATTCATGCTGCAATGCTTTTGAGTTGTTTCTTCAAGACCCTTATTCTTTGCTCAGACTTTACCGTGTATCAGTTAACAGTTTGTTCCTTTATGTGCTGAGGGACCCTCACTACAAAGAGAAGGAATGGGGTACAGGGGGAGGCTGAAAAATTCCTCAGCAGGCATCCTGGGAGTGGACAGTAGTTTTCTTTCACTATGGAATGTTGTCATTCATGGGGGTCATCAAAGGGCTGGTGTGAAGGCTAGAAAGGCAGGCAAGGGGGAGACGAGAAAGAGGCCATCCCTTGGACCTCTAACTGTCACATGCTACACTTGCCAGAAGCTGGTACTTGAGGGACCAATGTTCCAGGGGATGAGGGGAAGAGACTGTGCATATGAACAAATTGTCTTCCTCCTAATGCTGGACTGGAAAAGGGGTTGAGCAGTTGTGCAGGGGGCAGCTCTCCATCCTAGCACCACATTAAGGAGAAGCGGGAGCCTTCCCAGGCAATCATAGGTCAGCTTTTTACACCATTGCTCTGTTTTGCTCAGAAGTGCAGAGGGATGGCTGACGAGCAAACATGGATCTGGTGAGCTGGAAAGATGACTTTGGTGTGTGATGCAAGATGTCCCCTGCCTAGTACCACCATCCTGGCCTTATTACTCCTCTAAGCTTCTGCCATGCAAGGCTGCAAGGCACAACCTTGCTTGGTGGTGGGGGAGAAGGGGGTGGTGGAGGAGAGAGAGTCAGGACCACCCTGTGTTTCACTGACTCAGTTGGACTATGCCCAAATGTGGTGAAGTCTGCCCCACAGTCCCGGGTCTAGGGCCAGGGTAGGAGGGCAAAGGGTGGAATTTTTGCCAGACAGTGCAATGCCTTTCCCAACTCCCCAGGGTCTCCACTTGTTTCATAGCAAGGGCAGCCAGGGGCACTGTGGGTCCCTACAGAGCCACCCTGCTGCCTCAGGTTTAGAAAGTGGACATGGCAGAGTCCAGTAGGAGCTGGAGTTCCAGAACACAGTGCATACTCATCCAATCTCATCCCTAGGAGGATTTAATTTTCGACATACCTGCTCTTCTCTCTGGGGACTTCCAATGGGTCTAACAGCAGGGAGTTTTCTCTGGAAAGTCCCTAGGAGTTTAGTATTTTAGAGGTGTATCTAGCCTTCCTTTAGAATGTTAACCCTCAAAAATCAGCCACACGAAAAAGCCTTACAACTTTGCTAAACAGCTTGTCATAAGCCACACAGAAAAGCAGACTGCAGATCCATCAGGGAGAACTTCAGGGGTTCTCTTATTCTAAACTATGTTTTGCTCACAAATCTCTCTAAAACAGTTCATACTCTGCCATGGTTGTGTTTACTAATTGCTTCTAGTACTTCTGGTTCTTGTGCTCTTAATAAGGAATAGAACCCTTACAGTAAGACACTGTCACCCCAGCTTGAAACTCAGCTCAGAGCTGACATGGTGGGATAGATGGTGAAAACTGCCATTTCCAGATGGCTAGACACTTGAATCACTTTGTGAAGCTTTTAAAAAATTGCAGAGTTTAAGCCTCATGCTGGCAATTCTGATTTAATTGGCCTATGATGGACTTTATGGATATTTATTTATTTATTTTTGTATATATATATGTAAATGTATATATATATATATATTTTTTTTTTTTTGATATGTAGTTCAAGCTGGCCTAGAACTCAAGATCCTCCTACCTCTGCCACCTGAGTTCTGGAAGAATCATAGGTGTGCACTACCATACCCTGGCACATGGGAATTTTAAAAATGTTTCCTGTATGATTCTTATGTGGATCTTAACCAAGTTCAGGTTCAGTAATCAACCTTGGGTGTTCACTCTTTTTTTCCCCCAAGATTATTCAGCAAGTCAGCCTGGGTCTCTACTTAGCAAATTGGAGCCCCCAGTTAAATGCCAGGGGGCCAAGTTCTTCCTTCCCAGGAGGACTCTTGGAGGAAGTGCTCAGGTGACCAGAGTACAGTCAGAGGCTTTTCCTGGCTACCTGGCCTTATCTTCCCACAAAGCCTTCCAGTTCTTCCCATACTTCCTTTTTGAATCCCTCTTTGTTTGGGGAGGACTGTAGAAACAACTGCCTGCTTCATTGGTAATCCATTTCCAAGGCCTCCCAGGGCCGGCTGCTTCTGCACGTAGCCTGGCTCATCTGCTTTTTAAGTTTATATGAGGGCTTCACTCTAAGTTGTTTATCAGTCTTGATACTAACAGGAGTGGGGTTCATATCCTTTTCTCAAAGCATTTTCTGTTCTGAGAAGGATAGAGCTCACAGAACGGAAATGTCCATCTACCTATCTATTCACCCATCCACCTACCTATCTCTATCTCATGTCAGAGAAAGAGGGAGAGAGGGTGTATGTGTGTATGTATGTGTGTGTTTGGAAAGAGAGAAAGAGAGAAAGAGAGAGAGAGAGAGATTTTTCTTTAGAATTATTTAAGAGCTAGATGCAGGCATAATGTACCTCTTTCCTTAAATAGTTTAGAGTATATTTCTTCAAAATAAGGACAATACAATGATCAAAGGTAGGAAATCAGTACTGATACATTAATATTACCTAACAGCCAGACCTTATTTAAGCCTCACCAACTTTCCCACTAGTAGTCCTTATTTATAGAAAAAAAACTACATTTTCACCAACAGGGTTTTTTTTTTTTTTTCACAAATAGGATGTTTTATTTGCCACTATTAAAAATCTGAACTTTTAGACAGATTCTTGGACTGGTGGTTCATAGCCATCAGCTTGTTCGACTTTAGCACCTGTCTCGTCACCTGTAGCTTTTCCAGAACTACTACTTTCACCACGAAGCTCCATGAGTTTTCCCAATTCAGACTTGGGCTTCTTGAGCATTTTTACTTCTCTGACGAAGACATCATGAAGTGGATAAATAGACTGGCAAGCCTTTTCTATGTCTTTCCCAGTGCTGTCTGGAATCAGTTTATTAACCACTTCCTTCAGGTCATTTGTCTGCACCTCTCGGGTCATGATTTCCATCTTCTTCTTCCGAATTTGGTGGACCTGCTGGTGCTGAGCGTAAGAGGTCTTGCGTATCTGCTTGTTGCATTTTTTAGTAAAACTGACATAGAACAGACGAAGCAAATACCCATCAGTAGTCTTAACACCATTGTGAGCTTCAATCATGGTCTGCCAGTTTTTGACAAAATGAACACATTTTGTCGCGGGTAAGATCCATGCCATGGAAGTTAGTCAGGCAGTTTTTGCCCTGAACATCCTCAGTAATTAGCTTGAATTTTCTAAATGCAACTTATCGTTCTGCAGATCAGCAAGACTCACTTCAAACACACAATCCTTGAGGCCATCAGATGCAATTTTGGTTCCCTGAGTCCTCGTGACGAGCATCTTTCCAATGTTCCTTATATTGAACATGGCCAGTGCGTTCACATCATACCAATCTTTCTTAGAAAATGGATCAACCACTTTCTTCTTGGCTCCCTTTTTGCCACCTTTTGTAAGGCGCTTGTTTTTGACGACCACCATGGTGCTGCTCAGAGAGCCAGAAGGCCACCGACTGGGTTTTATCCAGGCCCACAAATTTTGGTGAGGTGTCACATCTCTTCCATTCCATCAACTAGAACATTCTTCTCTCTCTCCCACTGGTATTTTTGGAGAGTATAGGTAGTGATTCTTAAACAATTAAAAATGTTTTAAATTGTGATAAAAACACAAAACACAAAATTTACTGTCCTAGCCATTTTTTGGTTGTTTTTTTAAGACAGGATCGCGCTGGATAGCCCAGGTTGTTTTAACCATTTTAAAATATTCAGTTCAGCGGGATTAAGTGTATTCACATCACCATGCAACAAAATCTCCAGAACTTTGTCATTTTGCAAAACTGAAACTCTGTACCGTGAAATAGCAACGCCTCATTGCCTCCTCCCCCTGACTCTGGCAACCACCATTCTTCTACCACGGATTTCAGTATCCCACATAAATGGAATCATAACAGTGTCTGTGTTTTTGTGATTGGCTTTTTTCTCTTAGGATAATGCTCTATGTTGTACTGTGTCAGAATTTACATCCTTTTTGAGACGGAACAATATTCCATTGTCTATACACACCTTTTTGTGCCCACCTCTGTCTCAATGGACATAGACTGCTTCTCCTTGAAAGAAATGCTGTTATGAATATGAGTGGGCAGACATCTTTTCAAATTCAGCACACTTAAATTTTCAAATGTCCCTCATTTGCTTCTTTAGGATTAGATGCAGGCTCTGCATTTCTGGCAGGAATACCTGAGTAGTGATGCAGCTCAGACTGGTGAGGTTAACTCACCACTTGCTTAAGCATGGCACCTGCCAGCTTCCTCTGCTTGTAAGGTTACTATTTTTCCTCTCCGCTCCTCTTCCCTGCTCTCTTCTCCTTTCTTTTTCTTTTTCTCTCCTGGAGTTCAAACCCAGGACCTTGTACATGCTAGGCAAACACTCTACCACTGAGCTATGTCCCCAGCTCCTCGATTTTCCTCTGTGTGATTAATAAGTGTTTGGTGGGGAGTTACTTTGAGACTCTGAAAACATCTTAGCTTTTTGTTTTTTAAATCAAACTTTCACCCACTTGTTGATTCTTCTGTGGAACAAATATTCCTGTGGTTACTTCTAACTTCTACATTTATTTGTTGACAAGCTACTCCAAGGAAGGCACTTTCCCATGGATTGTGCTCATTCATTCTTTCATTTTATTTATATGTAGGGCTTCTCGGGTTCTTATTTTTCTCTGGTTTATAATCTATTACTATGGTAATTTTCTTGCCCAGATTGTATCAAATTTGGCCAATGGGAACCCCTTTACGTAGGCTATTGTGTCTTTTTTGACACATCATCTCAGTAACTTGTATTTCAGTATCAGCATTTACTGTGCTTGGTAATCTTCCTTCATTCATTCGTTCCTTCCTTCCTTCCCTCCTCCCTCCCTCCCTCCCTCCCTCTCAACAGGGTCTCGATTTGTAGATCTGGCTAGCCTTGAACTTGAGATCCTCCTGCCTCATTCTCCAGAGTGCTGGGATTATAGGCGTGTATCACCAGGACTAGCTCATAGTCTTGGTCTTTGTCTTATACCCAGTTCTTTAGTGGTTTCTCACAGGGGTAGTCTCTGAATGGCTTGAACATCCTGATTGCCTTTCTTTGGAGGCATGTGAGTTTGTTGATACTCCCCTTAAAATGGAGTCATGCAGAACTGAACAGGGTCCTTTCTAACACTGGGGATTACAAACTGTTGGTCCATTCCATTCTAATTTGAACACTGTTCATTAATACAGCCCAACTGGGGTAGGTTTTCCAACATCTAGTCAGCATTGCTTTCCAAAAACTGCTCTTTTTTTTTTTTCGTTTGGCTTGGTTCAGCTCTATTTTTAGGATGTTTTCCACTGGGAGAAGGAAGAAGTATGGGGTGGGGGAAAGGTGCCAGCTCTGTGTCACTCTTTACTGACCCTGGGTTGCTCCACTATATGCGTCTGCATCACAGATACAGGGAGGCCTTGCGACACAGCACCCGTCCTCTACTTTCTCAATGCAGCTTTCTCCAAGCGTCACTGGGGCACACTTTCTCATATTCAGCAGAAGGTGGTCTGGTTGCAATTTTTATTTCCCCAGGTCTGGATTAACAACTTTGGGTGACTTGACTTTGACTCATCCACTCCTCCCCTCACCCTTGTGTGTGCATGTACGGGGAGAGGTCATTGATCAGCTGAAGAAATGAGGGGTACAGACCAAATTGCAAAGCATCCAGCATACAGGAAATCTAATCAGACGTCATAATCACCTACCTGGTGTGAGCCTGGACGGTTCATGTACTTAACAGTTTTTCCAAGAGCACTTTTACTCATATTGAACTTGACTCTCATAACAGCATCTTTTGAAGTAGACAGGCTGCTCTTATCCAGTTTTACAGAGGATGACCACAGAGCACAGCTGTCTCTGCTTCAGAGCCTGTGGCTCCTGGAGGATTTATGGAAACTACTTCCAGCTCATGATATAAGCCAGTATTTGTTCCAACTGGGGAATCTTTGTTGATTTATCAACATCATTGTAAATTTTCACATTCATTCTTTAAGCAAGCTTGTATTGAATGTCCTCTATCTATGTCTGACACTGGTGATTTAAAAATGGAGAGTTGTGCCTGCTTTTAAGTTGCTGATAATCTAGTAATTACTATCAAAGGTTGACTTGTGTTTCACAAAGAACAATGGGATCACTGATCTTTACCTCTTGACATCTGGAAGGGATGCTTAGAAACCATTGGACTGCCTCATCAGTGGATAAGAGAACAGGGGTCCAGGCTGGGTGTAGACAGGATCAGGACCAGGGCTACTTTCCAAAGTCCCAGGCCTCATCTCTACCCTCACTCCCACTTTCTTCCCTGTCCTCCTATTCCTGCTGCAGAAGCTTTGGAGATGAGACAAGTCTGAGTCATAATGTTGGAGGATTTGCACCTACATGATCCACAGGTTCCCTAGATTTGCTTTTTTTGGTGGGACTGTGTCTTGAACTCAAGGCTTTACACCTGCAAAGCAAACGCTCTACCACTTGAGCCTTGAGCTACATCTTCAGTCAATTTTTCTCTTGTCTTGGAGATGGGGTCACCCAAACTATTTGCCTAAGTTGGCCTTGAACTGCAGTCCACCTGATCTCAGCCTCTCAAGTAGCTAGGATCACAGATGTGAGCCACCTGTGCCTGGCTTGATCTCTCAATCTCTCTCTCTCTCTCTCTTTCTCTCTCTTCTCTCTAGCAGTACTGGGATTTGAACTCAGGGCTTTATGCTTGCTACACTACTACCACTTGAGCCACTCTGCTAGCCCTCTTGTGTTGAATATTTTCAAGATAGTGTCTTGTGAATCATTTGCCTAGGCTGGCTTTGAACCATGATCCTCCTGATCTCTGCCTCCTGAGTAGCTAGGATTACAGGAGTGAGCCACTGGTGACTGTCTTTCAACATCACAAGATGACTCACTCTTTAGTGAATAGAATAATCCCTTCACCATGTGCCTTAGGAACAATGACATTTCTGTTGTTCTAAAGTCCAAGAGGTTTCCTTAGCCAGAAAAATTAACATTTTATTTATTTTTATTTGCGATACTGGGGTTTGAACTTAGGGCCTTCAACTTGTTAGGCAGGTGCTATAGCACTTGAACAATAGCCCCAGATCTCTTTTGCTTTAGTTCTTTTTCAGATAGGTCTTGAGTTTTCCCCCCAGGACTGACCTTAGACTGTGATTCTCCTATCTATGCCTCCTAATAGCTGAAACCACAGGCTTAAGCCACCATACCCAATTTACTGGTTAAGCCGTGGGCTTGCTAACTTTTTGGCCTCAAATTTCAATCCTCCCAATCTTCCCCTCCTGAGAAAGCTGGGATTACAGGCATGTACTACCACACTTGGCCAGAATGAACATTTTAAAGGAAATGTGATGTTCCTTACAGATGCTTGAGGGTGAGCAGCTGCTGTTGGAAGAGGGCACAGACTTATTCACTAAAGTCGGAGTGGGGGAGATATTCCAGGAAGATAAATGTCTTTCTCTTCAGCAGCACTGGCTAATAATGGAGCAAAGAGCCTGAAGCCAGAAGTTCAAGCTGAGGCTGACCAGAAGGGTTCTTTCTTTGCATTATGTCTGCCCATCCAGGTGAATGCACACTCTTTTGCATCTGTCTGGCTTCTTTATCCACCATGACTAACGGCTGAGGAACAGTTTGCCTTACTGATGAGGAAACAGCCTGCACTATCCAAAACAATGATTCCGAGAAACATCTGAGTATTTTCTCCTACTCAGACCCATATCCATTTTGTCTATTGATGCACTTAGGAAATGTTTTACTTTGTGAAGGTTATGTAGCACTTTTCTTATGGCAAAGAAGAAACAGGTTTTCTGATCCTGTTTCTTTTTCATCCATGATTTGGGAGAAGATGCTGGGGTAGATTAGGGATTAGTTAAGGCCATGGTTTCCCCTACCACAGAATAGGTCATCAGCCAGAACTGTCCTATTAGTTTATATGGGTTTACTATGTTTTTGGATTTTTCTTTAATCTCTCTTTATGTTGTGTTGTCTATCTCTGCAAAATATTGAAATTGGGTAACTTTTCTGGCCTGGAACAAAGACATTTGTGTTCTAGGGCAGACTTTCATGGAAATGCAATTGTTACAGAGAGAACTGGCTGGCCATATCTGCCTGGGGTCACTGTGGCCCAGTGACTTCCCTTCAGATTTTCCTGTTTAGAAGTTCGGTTTTGGCACTGCACCCACATATAGTCAAGCTTAGAGAGACTGAGTTACAAACCAAACTGGTAAGAGAATGGTATATGCTTTAGTTTGTTTCCTGTTACTAATGAAGTACCTGAGGCTGAGTGACTTTGTAAGAAGAGAAGTTTATTTTGGTTCACAGTTTGGGTTCAAGATCAAGGGGCCACATATGATGAGGACTTTATTGCTGGTAGGGCCTCAAGGCAGCACATTGCAAGAGAAAGGGGTCCAGGCATGGTGGCTCACACCTGTAATCCCCAGCTACTGGAGGGGGGAGG